ACGGAGAATGGAGCGGGGGAGCCAGGCTGGGGCACACGGAGAATGGAACGGGGGAGCCAGGCTGGGGCACACGGAGAATGGAACGGGGGAGCCAGGCTGGGGCACACGGAGAATGGAGCGGGGGAGCCAGGCTGGGGCACACGGAGAATGGAGCGGGGGAGCCGGGCTGGGGCACACGGAGAATGGAGCGGGGGAGCCAGGCTGGGGCACACGGAGGGGGCTCCGGGCGGGCGGCGGTGCCGCGGGAGGGTCCCTGCCGGGCTCGGGGGATGCAGCACCGGTACGTGCCGCTGCCCGCCTGGGTGATTGATGCTCGCTGGTGGCATTTGCGAGGCTCCTCGCCTGCCTGCAGGGAGCTGCTGTCCCCCCCAGCCCGCCTGTCCCGGGGGCGAGGGCTCTGCCCGTGGCTCCCCCGAGGGCTGGGGATGCTCCCGGGTCCGGCGGCACCGGAGCGAGCGGCTGCTGCCCGTCGCCCGTCTGAACGTTTGTGCGGGGTTCGGGTTTTTTCCCCCCCTAGAATTGTTCAGAGTCTGGAGTTGCTCAAGTTCCAAAGCTGGGCGGCTCTGGCTTTGGTTTTAATTAACTGCTAATTGTCTCAAGCGGGAGAAGGCGCGTACGGACCTCGCCCCCAGCTCTGGTGTCGGTGGGGATCCGGCGTGTTGGTTTGAAACAACCCCCGCACCTCGCCAGTGAACGCTCGATGAAAAGCTTTTCCCCTCTCCTCTCGAATGAGAATTTCGCTCTTTCTGCACGTCCCTCACTCGGGTTTGACCGGGTCCTGGCGACCGCGGAACTTTGCCGTGAGCCGGGGCGGAGCAGGGCGAGCTGGCCACCGAGTCCCGGCGCTGGCTCGGTGCTGGGCGCAGCCGCTGCTCCGCTCCCCGCACAGCCCCAGCCGGCTCCGCTGCTCCTTCTCTCTTGTAACTTCATGGTATCCCCAGCACGGTGATGTGTCACCTGGTTGCCAATCCGGCGTGGTGCCTGGCTGTGGTTAACCCAAATCCAAGCAGCATTTTGCTGGGGAGGGAGATCAGCCCATTCCTCCTGATGGGGAATGATCCAGCAATAGCCGTGCGTGGGAACTGGGTAGTCAGGATTGCCTTAGTGGTGCCACTGACACGCACAGAATCAATACTGATAGCTGTCCTCAACGTGCGTGTTTTACACGAGGGGAAAGAATGTCAGTATTTTTATTGTGAGTGCAAAAATCAAAAACCAAGACCTTACAAAGGGCAAGGAACTCTCCCAAGTATGCACTGCTGTGTTTTGCAAGAGAAACTTGAACTCTAGTTTAAGCTGCATGCGAGGCTTGTTTAGTAATGTATTTTTTTAAATATATATGGGAAATTGTGAACAAAATGCTAAAATCAGGAGTGGAAATCACTGAACTTGTAAGCAGTGAAAGTGTGTTACTACCCCGTGTGGAGTTGTTCCAGAAAGTTGTTTATTATGCAAGAGACTTCCCATAGTAATCTGGCAAATGCATTTATGAAAGCGTTTGAGGGGAAGGATTGGTGGAGGTGTTTAACTCTTGCCCAAATGCTGCCGATTCGGTGTTGGGCTGCAGCTAAAGCACAGAGCTCTGTGAGTGGTGCCCTGCTCTTCCCTGCTCCTCAGCATCCCACAGCATCCCACAGCATCCCACAGCATCCCACAGCATCCCACAGCATCCGCGGTACTCTGCTTCTCTCCTGGCATTGCCCTGCACTGCCGGGCATGGATGAGCTGCAGGTTTGGAGCTGGAAGCAGTGATGTTTTCTGGGAATAAAGCAGTGGGAGGTGCTGCTCGGAGCACAGGAGCTGCGAGTTGCCAGTGGCGATGGCTGTGGGGTTTTTACAGAGTGGGTTTTGGGGATGGCACCTCAGTGAATAGAACAGGTAGGGGCTGTCTAGCTGATATGAAGCTTGGGGGTTTTTTTCTGTATTAAGGAAGTTAAACCACTGGATTTTTGGGGGGTTTAGAGCTGCTGTGGGGTGGTGGCAGTCTCCTATAGCTCTGTCACTCACTCAGCTCCAATGCTGGTGCCCTCAGTTGGGGTCTTGTCCAGAAATCCAAGCATGCATCCAGCTGGCTGCACACCCTGCAAATCCTGGAGCTGGGTGTGATACATGGAGCTACCTAAACAACTTGTTCTTTAAATTCCTAAAGATCACGTCACCGTAGCTAAGGAGCAATGCCATATTTTCCTGTCACTTTCCTCTAATGCTTCTCTTGGAGTTTCCACCCACAAACAAATGCTTCCAACCACTTGTGCAGGGGCGGTGGTTTTGTTGTTTGTTTTTTCTGAGCTAGCCTCGCTGTCTTTGATGTTGTTTATGTTTATGTTCTTGTGGTGTTTCTTGTGGGAATTTTCCCATTGAAATACCACAAGAACATCTTAATGTTGTTGTGATACAGCAACAGGAGATTTTCTGCAAATAGATTCAATCTTTTTGCTGTTCTTCCTGGAAGAGGCTGAGTCTTACAAGTGATATAAGCCAGTGGTTTTATATGTATGAAGTGATCATCAGGATTTACTTTGATACCAGAAGACACAGATTAACTGCAGTCTGCAGACAGGATTTTTTGTGTTTTCACAGTGGTGTGAGGAGTGTCTGAGGAGGCAGCAAGCCTGCAGGGACAGGGAACTTATTAGTGATGAGGAATGACTGGGGCTGGATGTGAGCATCACTCCTGACTTTGGTAACTGGAGAAATAATTACAAGCCTGGTCTTGGCTACTAGAAAATCAAGGAAAACGGGAAGTTTTTTCATCTGTAAAGTAATTTTTCATCCTTCTTGGTGCTCAGCTTGGAGCTGGGTCTGTCTTGTTGTGCTGTCAGATCCATAACCTCCCAATTCATGTTGGGAACAGTGGATGAGAGTCCCCTGGGATGTATGCACACATTGAACACTACTGGAGATACAAGTGGTGAGAAATGACTTTTTCAAGGGACTTATGTGATGCAAGCATTGCTTAAGCTCCTCTTGTGCATGGGTGATGTCCATGCAGGATACTCTGAAATTAACTTTTGTTAGAAAGAAGCTTAGGAACTTAATGTTCCTAATTCAAAACTGAATGTGCCACAGAGCTACTGGCTCTGGAAATGGACTTGCCTTGGTGCTCTGTTGCTGCTGTCCTTAAAATATATCTGCAGTGACAGCAATTCCTTTTTCAGGTATTTTCATTTGTTTGTTTTGTTTTGCAGCTCTACAGCTGAAGTTTCTCTCTCTCAGCCAAACCAGAGCTAGTTCAGTCAGCGATTATCCCATTGAAAAACAACTGGAATGCAGAAAAATGGAACTGGAAGAGCTATAGTTCCCTCTGTGCCAACATCTCCACTTTGATTTAGTGAAGTTGTTTGGAATTGTCACCCAAACTTTTCATTGGAGATTTGATGGTCCACATTTTATAGGATGCAGTGTAGGAAAATGAATTGCAGGAGAAAATTAAATAATTATCAGTGATACCTTGTAATGTGCCTTAACCAGGAAAGGATTAGGTAAAGGCTGCAGTACTGAGAGGTACTTTTCTGATTCAGAGCTCAAAAAGCCACACAGTTCTCTTGTCCACTGAGACAGATGAAAACCAGGTCAGAGTTGATGCATGCAGGAGAGCACTGTTGGGGTAAAAAAAGTAGGAAGGGGGAAAAAAACAACCTTTGAGCTTTGACTACAGTCAACTGAAATTTACTGTATATAGATTTTTTTTTTCAATGTGCTGTCTAATACAAAAAAAAAGACTTAATGCAGAATGAGAGGAAGTGGCAGGAGTTCAGATATCTTATGGATTCTCAGTATTCTTGATGGAGTGAGGAGTGAAGGTGGTGGGCAGCTGATGAAATAATGGAGTTGGTGTTTTATTAGTGTGAAGTTAAACTCTGCGTGTTGAAATTTAATCTGAAAAAATAACAATTGAAGTGCAAGTCATAAGTGTTTATAGCATTGGCTTTATTTTGAAAGAGCAGTTAGTTTTATACCCCTAAAGTTTAACTTTTTATATGTAACAGAGTATAATAATAATCCTTAAAATAAGTAATACTTACATTTGATATCGCTGATATGGGAATTTTTTCCCAAATTGTAACATCCAGATATTTTCCTCTTGAAAAATTTATCTGTTAATTAATGTAAAGAATAATTAATTAACTGGCAAAGGTGCTGCACTTCCAGCTGGGGGAAGCAGCAGTGGGAGCTACTGAAGTTGTGCTCAGCTTGGATAATCCCTGCTGCAGCTCCTGCTCTTCTGGAGAAACACATTTAATGGGAACAGCCAGGATTTGAAACCTGGACATGTATTTTAGTGTTTTCTTAATCCTGATTGCACACAGGACGAGTTTTATCTGTGTTTGACTGAGTGATGAAGTGTTTAAAATCCAGACTGCAGAGCAGCCAGGGTGGGGGGGCTCCCAAAAAATGAGATGTGAGCTGTAGAAGGCTTTGGAATGAGTGGTGGTAGGAAGAGAAAAGCAGGGATGACCAGACTTGTCTGGGAGGTTCTTTTTGCCAGACAGTTCTTGGTTTGCTGGAAAATACAAAAAAATGCATTTCTGAGCTGCAGCTTTATGGGGAAGCACTGGCTGGGATGGCAAGGAGTGAACAGGGGTGAGCAGGAAGGAGCTGAAAAGAAATCATCGTGCAAGTGAAATTTGACTTTAGAAGACCGTGCCACCAACCTCCCTGAGACCCAGGGGAGCCTTGTGCTCCCTAAAAAATGCTGAATTCCAGCAGCTGGGGATGGAGCAGGGC